ATTTTCTTAATTATAAAAATCGTAATTAAAAAATAAAATATTACATTTTTCATTAATAACTTAACACCACTATTAGTACAGTATAATTAGTTTTACACAAAATTTATTTAGATTTCAAAAAGATTTTGAAAAAATGTTTCAAAATTTATAAAAATCATTTGCGATTTACTGCTAAAATGTCATGTCTCATATTTGTCTCATATTTGTCTCATATTTGTTGCCTCTTTATTCATCGCTATATCTCATAATTGATCTGTGATTGCGATTTAGCATAAAGATATGAATGCATAGAAGTAGTCATTTGTCGCTTAAGATTTCAAATTTCAATGTCAAACGAGTCTACAGTGATGTCCAACAGTCACTCCTCTGACACTAAGCTGTCTTCAGATCGGAGTTAGTCTTCATTTCAATTCATAGTCGCATTCATATCACTATTATTTTCAGTCAAAGCATACATCTTATATCTATTAATAAGATGTTCATACTGTATCTACCAGCAACTATACCATTATTGAGTATCACTGTATTGAGCCTTGTTGATGGTATCACTGAACAAGCTTCTTTTTAAGTACTCAATAATGCACTCAAATTTTTAATATTTTCGTTTTTAGTCACTTTTTACTAATATTAATGCTATGCTATGTATTTTTGTATAAATTGGTAAATTTCATAGAGTCTAAACTATAACCTTGGTCATTTTGCATTGTTCTAACAAGTAAGTTAGAACTTCTAAATGAATATATAATTAATATATTTTAGCCAAAATTAGTCTTTGAATGGATTAATATGTGTTGAGACGAGTTTGTATGGACAGGAAATGGCAGACAATTAAACAATTGATTGAAAAGCAAACATATCATACAATTGCAACATTTGTCTCATAGTTTGTTAATTATTGTCAATATATGGTTAAAGCTATTGAGACACGAATGAGTGAACAAAATACATTCACATCATATATGATACTGTATTGCCATTACATAGAGTGACCTGTCTTACTATTACAGTATATACAGTACAGTATGTCTCATACCATGAATAGTCTTGAATACCAGTGAAGCCATTCGTTGATAACTTGTTGAGTCACTCAAAGACATCTTTCGGATCAAATGAGTGATAAAAAAGTTTTGAATACTTTCACGTTATTTATGATATGTTTTGGTTTCGCATTGTTTTGAATGAGTGTTGTCTGCATGGAGTGAGTCCACCGGTGCTGTCATATCACACCTACCGTTCCCTCACCTGTCAGTCCTGTAGTGCCCACACATCGGACACAATGTTCTCGACGTCCACTCAACTGAAGCACTGGTTGTATGGATCGGAGGAAGAGTTGAATCAATTGCGAACGGAAGCCAATCAGCGGTTCATCCGCCACAGAGTCACCGATGATCTGGTATTTGACACCAATTATCATGTCTTCCACTCATTGTCTCATTCATGTGTTGCATCCAAAGGATGACGTCTACGACAAGTACTTGAGTCCCGCCGAAGAGGCCGTTCACACCAAACATTACGAATCAATTTTGCGCGACTTTTGTCGCAAATTCTCGCCACCGATGCCTAAGTCTGTTGTCGTATGTCTTCATCTGATCCATCCATTCACTGATATGTTGTCTTTAATGCTGACATATGTTTGACTCGAAGGGAACGGCATTTCAGTACTTCAAGCGCTTCTATCTGAACAACTCAGTGATGGACTTCCATCCGAAGCACATAATCGTCACGTGTGTCTACTTGGCCGCCAAAGTGGAGGAATTCAATGTATCGATGCAACAGTTCG